GGGGACTTTTTACTTGGATGTTGTTGCCCTCTCAGCCGGGGTTGGGCCGAGACAGGCAGGACGGGAAGTCTTGTCTCCTGAATGATCTAAATTGTGTCGATGTCGGCGTAAAACACACAAAATTTAAAAGCAATTTAAAAAAACCCCACTCTGTCACCCAGTGAACTGCTTTCCTGGTGTCCATGATTTTGAACATTTCCATCGGCCCCGCTTAACCCTATCCATACGTCGTGTTTTACTATCGTATCCATACGACGTGGGGAACTCTGTGCCACCACTTTCCAAAGAGGAAATTCACTCGTTAATCCTATCCGTACGCTTTGCATAGCAGTCTGTCAGAATGTTTTTTGAGAAATACTGAAAGTTTCAAAGAGATCTTCGTGCTGGAAGTATTCTAAAATGTGAAGAATACAACCCCGGGGGTACAAAATGACCCCAAGGCGCACGGATAGGGTTTAAAAAAACCAACGTTGTCAACTTTTGTATTACGTATTTGGCATAGTCGTAACCAACATGGTGTGTTTCAGGAAATAATTTTGCCTTTGCCGATTTGATTTGAACTGTTCAGATGTCTGTCTCAAAACCATATTATGGTCGCTTTTAAGCACAAGGGGACTATCCCGAAAAACGCTGTTTTGAGAAAATTCAAGGTAAAGTTTTGGCACTTGTTCAGTTTCTTTAAAAGATTAGGAGAGTTTTCTCTATAACCAAACATTCACACCAATGAAATCAAACTTTTCAGGTAGGGCAATGTCCACTTTTGGTGTTGGTCAAGATTTCTAGAAACCCCCGAAATCTGGGTTATCCCGCTTGTCCTTAAAGTGACCATATAATTGTATACATTGTAAGTCCATGCAAAAAGAGAAGAATAACAAGGTATCTGTATGTGGATGGCGGCTGCTCTGGTGTGGTTTGTTCTTTCTTTCTTGTTAAACATCAACCTGCTGTCGTCCTAATCTCCCCTCCTCCTTTTTTGTGTTTGTTAATCCATGTAACATCTCTAACCTTCAGCTTTTACTATGACAAAGTTGCGTTGCAAATGTCGTAAAACGCTTAGTGAAACAACTTTATTTTTAAAAATAATTTTAATTTTTCTCCCCCCCCCCTTTCCCTCCACACCTTTTCTTTCCCAGAGCTTGGTGCCCTACAAAATGACCAGACGAAAGCAAAATGCGCCCAAGCGACTTAAAAGTGAGTACTAGCTACGTGTACCTGTATGGTGCACTGTTGTTATCTCTACTGTTGTTACCACTGTTGTTGTTATTGTTGTTGTTGATGTTGTTGTTGTTGTTGTTTTTGTTGTTGTTGCTGCTGAAGCGGCTGTTGTTGTTATTTTTGTTGCTGTTTGCTTTGTATGTTAATGCTATTATACAATAATTGCTTTTGTTGTTTTAACAGTTTTGTGCAATTTGTTCCTATTTGAATATGTGGGTGGGTGGTTGGAGTGTGCTATGGTGTGGTTTGCTTCTTCTTTTCGATCAAACATCTATCGTCCTTTTCTCCCCTTCTTCTTTTATATGTTTGTTACTTTCTAGTAACAGCTCTAATCTTCTGGCGCTCATGTGACCTTATGAAGTTGCGAGCGCCGTAAAACCTCTACTAAAACTAAACTACTTTTGTTGCTGTTTGCTTTGTATGTTAATGCTATGATACAATTATTGCTTTGTTGTTTGGCAGTTTTGTGCAATTTGTTCCTATTTGAATATGTGGGTGGGTGGTTGGCGGGTGTTCTCGTGTGGCTTGCTCATTCTTTCCTAATTAAACATCCGCTATCGTCCTTATTTCTCTTCCTTCTTTTTGTGTTTGTTACTCTCTTGTGACACGCGTCTAATTTCCGGCACTTGTGTGACGTCATCGTGTTGCGAGTGCTGTATAACTCATACGCAAACAAACGAGAAGGAAAAGAGCTATCCCCTGATGTCTGAACAGTTCTCATCATTGTACATGTACATTAACAGAACAGATCCCATCCCTTGGGCCTACTTGTTGCTTGTGTTGTTTATTCCTCATGGTGTTAATCAATGACTGTGTCAATAGAGTTGTGTCAACAGAGTTGTGTCAATACAGTTATGGTAATAGAGAGTGGGCAGACATTTAAAGACCAAAACACGCACATATCCTCTTTTGTCTCTGTGTATGTATGTATGTATGTATGTATGTATGTATGTATGTATGTATGTATGTATGT